TCTGGATTATCTTCAAGTATGTGCGTGTGTAAGCGAGAGCCAATTAGGATCCCGTCCACCCCTCAAATACCCATTCCATCAGTGACAGTGACAGTGACTTTACGGCGTGTGTGTTCCCTCAAGAGGGGCAACTGTACTTGGTTACAGTACAGTGTCTAAAAATGGTTGGTGTTGGGAATCGGGTGGGAGTCGGAATCTTTAAGCAGCTCTTGACAAAAGCTATCATTCGGATTGAATCATTTGCATGAGCAGGGACAGGGACGGAGACGGGCACTCACACGTGTCCGTTACACAAGCAGGCATTTGCATGCACGTGCTGTCGCTTAACGGTACAGAAAGCTCTGTGTACTGTGTGAATATAATCCCCTCTCTCATGTGAGTGCGGGTTTCCACTGAAGCGGTTTATGGAGTTTCGTATTGTTTTTGCATTTCGGTTTTTAATAAGGAACACAAAGACTGTTGCATACTTTCGGCGACCTACTTGCGGATTGTTACGAAGGGGTTGTAACTATTTTTAGCCTCTAGGTGGAAGGCTGGATGGATGCAGGCCTTGGCTGGGTAAGAAAATGCAAGTGAAAATAAATGTTCGTCGCCATCGCAAGCCAATAAACAGTAGTGGCACGTAAAGCGAATCAGGCAGCAGGTGCATACGGCGGTAGGTTCATAAGAAAGTGTGGTAGCCACAAGGATTGGGGGGCGCTGCCACTGCGCCAACGCACGTCAATGTCATCGTCTTCGTCGCCTTCGCGTGCTCCGCATCGCAATGGAGAAGCGGTTGGCTTAGGAGCAGTCTAGAGGAGTCCTTGGCGTTGGCTCCCTGCTGACGTCCTTCTACGACCTTCCACGACTACGGTGGGCCATTGAACTCCGTCTCCGAGACGGCATTGCATGCCTCAAAGTGGGCCAAACCAGACCACAGCCATTTGCATGCCATCCTGCCCAGCGCTGACCAAGGTCTCCTTGCTCAATCCACAATAACCGAGAATGAATCCAGCTGCAATTAGTTCGGGCCATCGCTGCAAGTCAGAATACAAATCAAGGCTCACCTCGGATGGATGTAAATGACATTCCCCTAACCCAAACGATTTCTTCAGAGCACTGAACAAAGATAATTTTGGTCCATAAAAGTTAATTACTTGCACAAAGTATGTACTCAAGCCAGGAGTAGGGAGTCAGGAGTAGAGTGATGGCTACGCTCTCAATGAAGATGGATCACCTGGGTTCCGCTGCACAGATGATTTCAAGGTTAATTACCATTTCGAGTAATTACTCTTCAGATATGCAGATAACTAGGGGAAAGTCTAGAGCAACTACCAGCGGAACTACTTGATTCCTTCCCTAACTGAAGCTCTTAAACGTACGAGCACAGTTCTGGGAGACACCTACAACACTTCCAGAACACTTAATCTACAAGTGCTCCCAGCTGTTTGTGTAGTTCCAGTTGGGCTTGCCCCAGTTGATACTCAAATCTTAAGCCATTCCTGTTGATACTTTTCAATTGCTGATATTGGTGCAATAGCCAACGATAATGTAAGTTTAATCAATTCTCTTCAAGTCCTAATTAGTTTTGAATGGGCGAAACGGAATCACCTTAATCTAAAGGCTTTTTGAAGTCAAAGACTGCGCCTTGGCGCCTGTGGCAATCACTTATCGGAGGGGAATACGTAGAACACCTGAGTAAATATGGACTATAATGGATTTCTTCCCTAGTAAAGAATCAATTTATCTTTGCAGAATAAATAATTCCAAAGAAATCTGAAGGGATGTTCAAATAATGATGACATGGACAATATTTGGGGTTTTGGGGATGGGTATACGGCAGATGATAGCTGGAAAGAGGGGAAAATGGCTTCCTTGTCAGGCTGGTCAACAAAGCTTCCCATAAATTCAGACTCGTGCCTGTCCCTGGGGTCTTTTGCTATCATACCGTATCTACATGTATCTGTATCTGTATCTGATTCTGATTCTGCTGCTTTAAGCAGTCGCATGACAATTGTTGACTCTACGCAAAGTAACTCTTGCTGGGTTTTTGCACAAATATTTGAGGCAAATGCAGGCGAAAATTTACGACAGGTGACTTTTAGTTGGGTTTGCTTTCGCTGAGTACCTGACTCTCAGCATGTGTAGCCACTGATTGGAGGGAAACTAAATATGTTTGATTAGGTCTAGACTCTGATTGTTTAGCAGTTTCAGATAGGAAGATATTCCCAGAAATTCGGAGTTAAGCAATCAAAGGAACTTCCATCTTTCTGCCAAATGATATTTAATTAATTTCCCATTTCATAGACTCTGGTAGCCCGACCCGGCAGCAGTTTGGTCCTGCTATTTCGGGTCTCATTAATGCGTTCATTACTACTCGTATCCTGTTGTTTTACGACGAAGGGAGACCCCGCGTTGACCCCGGAGGGAGGACAATGGCAGTCAAAGCAATCATCCATCACTTGTCACCGAAAATTCAATTGTGCGACAACTTCTGGAAAGTTCTGCAGATGTAGAGGTTATCTAAGGTTCAATCCTAAGGGTCAGCAAATAGTTTGGAACTGTTTTCGGTTCAGTTTCAGTTCAAAGTTGAGCGCTCCCACATGTCCAATAAATTTATGTTGAGTGCCCAGAAAATTGATGTAACCGACCTGCCCCAAGTAGTCCGCTGATACACAAAAGGATAGGCAGAAGGATACACAGAATCACAATCGAAAGTGCGTTAAACTTGTCCAGTGTCTATGACCCGGACTGCTGCTGGCTGCTGGCTGCTTGATGGATTTGCTTTCCTTCGGGAGGGGAGGGTGTGCGCTTCATGGAAACGCAAATACCGATTGAGTGTTGTATGCAAAACGGGGTTGATGCTGGATAATGGACCTCAGGCAACGGAATTATTGTATCAACAGTTGGTTTAACATTTCAGTGTTTTGCCTCCCTTGGCTATGGGTCTGTGGCAGTGTTTGTCCTTTGGCTGTGCCTCCTCAGACGAACGAATGTTCCTCCTCTGGCTGCGGCACTTTGAGAGCTTTAGAAGTAAAGCAACTTTTAATTGACGATGGCTGAGACGATGGCAACAAGGGGGTCCCTGGCCATTGTCGCAGCTCTTCCTGTTCCCAGCAAAGCGGTTTAAGGGCCGAACAATGGCCCCTGAACATGTGTCTCGACCTGGTCAAGTGGCATCCGGCTGACACTGAAGAGCGGAAATTTTTCCACTGCAGGCATTCCATTCGGAGGAGCGTACACACTCGAAGGAAACCAATAAAGCTTCGTCAACTCTCAATTGACGGTCAATGGGTTTGTCAAGGCCAACGAGGGAAGACAGGGACACATGACTGAGGACTGAGGACTGCGGACAGTCGACAGGGAGTCGAGTGGGTGGATGTGGAGTATGGTTTGGCTTGACTTGGTCTGGGTGGAGAAGAGAGCAAACAAATGGACGCAAACGAAGTGCCGGGTAGCCCAGGAAATGTCTCGGCAGTGGCACTGGGACTGGGACCAGGACCGTTACCGACCCCAGACGAGGCAATTACCATAATTGCAGTCATATAAGTAGAAGCAAACACAGATGCATGAATAAATAGCTCGATGCGTGCAAATAGCTTTGCTCTGGTTCAAGGGCATGTCTCTAATGCTGTCCCGGAAGAAGTGGATGCGTCCCGCCAGGAGTTGAATTTCAAATAGTTTTGCCATTAGTTGTCATTAAATTTGCAGCATCTGCTGTGGCCCACGTCTAATGAGCAATGAGCAACGGGCAATGAGCAATACCCTTTCTGGCCAGCAGCGCCTCATCTCAGGTGTCCGATTTTGACCCAATTCATGTGTGAACTTGGCATAATATAATTGTCATTATTTTCCTGCCTCTCATTGCCTCTTCCGCTGTGGCCGCCAGCTGTTGCTCATTTGGCTGATGTCCAACTCTTCAGCAGACCAGAATGTCTGGCTAAAAGAAGAGTGCGCCACCCAACCTGGCAACCAAACCAATCGAATCAGCATAAAAATACCCAAATTCAAATTATTCTTAACTCTTTATCATTGCAGGAATATTAATAGCAGTTCAGACGAATTCGTTTGATTAAACCCTCCATGAAATTCCCCCCAAAAACTGTTGTGTGCTGCCCACACTTTGCTCTCTATTAGATAAACGATTTATTTTTAGTCTTCTCTGCGACCGCTCTGGCGCCAAGCCTCTGCAGAGGCGCACAAAATCAATTGGCCCACACGGCGTATGAGTAATGCCAGCCAATGCGAGATAGCGAACTGAAAGCGAAATTAACGTCACTGAAATAGTAACTAAACATAGGAGATATTTCATTCATCCTTGCAATGTCGACAATCACTTAAAAAATCCCTTAATCGCATCATAATTATCCAAAGATTCATCTTCTGCCAGTCATCATAATATTATAGATCAGTGAACCACATCTGTTGTAGCATCCGTAGAATGATTCTCCCCATCTTATGATTTAGGGCAACTTGCCCTGAAATTTGCTGACAATGCTGACAGAAGCTCTCATTATTTATGGATCGTTTGTGGAGAAGTTTACTCATAATTTTGGGTGGGGAAACACCGTTCAACAAAAGAGTCAAGTCAGCTGACCATACCAAGAGCTGGAGCTGGCTGGCCCCACATATAATCGCTTGGCTATAAATTCAGGGGCTGGGAATTTGACTCGAGTGAGCCCATAAAAATCACGACGTTGATTTGAGTTTGAGAACTTTATCGGACTGCTATTCATATTACCGTTCCATTCTTCGCTCTCGGACTCCTGTGTCTGGTTGATTAACTCCTCTGAGAGCTATCTAATCTCTCCCCCGAAACGGGGGCTTATTATCATCATACTATACTTAGTATTCGTACTTATACTTAGTTATGTCGCGTGGTCATGGGACCAGATATTTCTGCCTCGAGTCGTGCCAATCTCTTAATGCCCGAGCCAAATGAGGATGTTTTGTCACTTCAAGTTAATGCCTTAATTGTGGCAACGTTTTTATGGCCAAGGGGATGTCTGTCTACCTCATCAGAGTTGGCCTTTCGTCACATGTCTATGCTGGAATAGGATTTGCTGATTGAAAATGCTTGCCAGGCCAAGCAAGCTTTTTCCGGGCACCCCGCAGGATCTTCCCAGCCTGGAAGAAGCCACAGCCATAGAGGTTAGCACTTGGAATGGTTTCTCATACGAAACTGATTGATTTCACCCCCAGAAATGCCATGCGGAAGTCCCGCTGAATGGACTGCAGCAGCCTATCTACTTCCTGCTCGTGTTCATGCTCTGTCCTGTTCTCATCTTCTGCGGCTTCAAGTATGGCATCCTGGGCAGCAGCGACCTAAACGTGGACATTGGCTCGGGTGTGGCCACAGTTATTGTGGTGCATATCCTGATCGCAGTGTACATCTTCCGCCTGATCTTCCAGCAGGAGTTCTCGCGCATGGAGAAGATCGAAACGCTGTCCGAGTGGGAGATCATTCTGCCACAGCAGGCCCAAACGCAGCACCCCGTTCTCGTTGTTCTGCTGCTGATGTTCTACTGCTCCTTGATCATCGGCTTCCCTGTGGCCACCTTCTTTGCCCTGAAGTTTGTGGTGCTAAAGAATCTCTTTCTTATCGCCAACATGGAAACCGATATAATATCTGCAATTGGGGCCGTCATCGCGGTCCACATAACCGTCGGGCTGTTCATCTATAGGGTGTAACTTCGGTTAATTTCTTGGCTCCTCTAAAGATCTGCCCGATGTGTCAGAGCTCTCCAATTAAAGTGCATTCTATGATTTCCTCATGTGGTCATAATTTTTCCCGAAAATCTTTCCGTGCAAAGTATTTATTAATAGTCTTAGCATTTCCTGTTTGCATAGAGATCCCCTCCGTATGTGTTTCCCCCTCCGAAACCATGGAAACGTTTTAGCAAATGCCATAAACACTTCCCACACAATGATTTGTGATTTGTGGAAATGTGGAAAGTGTTCTCTCTGGTGCAAAGACATTTCAAAAGTGTTCTCTCTGGTGCAAAGTCATTTCAGTTGTCACATGTCGAGTCCATCCCCTGATATTTGGACTACTCCTTGACGGGCACATGACACCACAACAGTCTGTTCAGGGACTTTAATGTGGAACAAAGAGTGTCGCCCGTCTAAGACTTTCCGCATGCAAAGTTTATCAAAGTGACGAGCCCCTGACATGACAAGTGCAGGAATTAAATTCTTTCGACCCGCAATTATTTATTGCCTATGGCTGCTGACGCCTGTCGGGGGGCCCGTGACTTTGTCCAGCTGTTTAACGCTCGCAATGGCTCTGCCCTTGCCTGCCACGCAACAGGTGGCCAGTCATGGGTTCTGTTCTATTCTGTTCTGTTACCATGATAAATGATTCCGACCCCTTCGCCAGTGGCCTGAATATCAATTGGGCAAGTGACAACTGAACAACCCACCTGCTTATACATAAATTTCCAAATACTCGACCCAGAACTTTGAAAAATTGAAATAATAATACGATTTTACACTGCTATTGGCTCGGATTTCAAAATAAACTGAAAGCTCTTTGGGAAGAACTTAAATTATATTCCTTACCATTCCTACTGTGATATATATTTATATATTTCGCAGTAGATCAGTTCAGATCAGATCAGATCACATTAGATTCTGTTCCACGCCTCATTTGGCCAATTGAATTTGCTTTACTTTCGCACCCAAAGTGAATGTAGTTACTAATGTTGTTGTCTTTGTGCACAGTGACGCCTATGTGATGGGCAATTACACACGTTAGTGGCAATTATTATTTGATTAACGTTTTATTACAACATTTATGCGATGCACACGCGGCGACACAAATGAGACGCGACGCAGTTTCGGAACTAAACAGAAAATTGCACATTGAATTCTCGTCCCGATGAGGAAGGAACAAATACGTTTATATTGCTGCAGATTTGTTGTAATAGTTGTATGCTGTTCGCACGAAAGCAGCGGGCTGACTGAGTAAACAAAATGTAAGTAAGCAGCGAGCCAAGAGCAACAGGTCGCGTCATTTGTCCAGCATCTCCCCAGGCGCATGTGCAAGTCAGAGAGAAACGAAGCACACTGAATATATGCAATGTGAGTGCAATTTTTTTCAAGTATTTATATGATTTGCGGTATAGTTAAAGATCTCAGACAACCATTTTTTCATACTTAATAGATTCAGTACTCTCAAAATTCAAATTTAAACAAATCAGGGCTGCCATATAGTTAAAAAATGGTTGAGGGGAAATTTGAACTGCTTTGTTGCCACCATATTGAGCGCGCGTCAAGCAGTGGTTTGGCGGAATATTTCAATATATCGAAAACATTGACTCTTTGGATCGGGTCAGTAGATTAGACAGCTGTGAAGTGAAACTCAATATTTAAAGTATAGAAAAACAATTTCAGTGGAGTATCTGTTGAGAAAAGTAGCAACAAGACAGAGCTACAAATGTCGCTGCTCTTCAACGCAGAATGGGGCTTCTTGGAAGGCATTGTGAGGGGCTTCAAGAACGGGATGCTGAAGCACTCCGACTACCTCGCCCTGACGCAGTGCGACTCCATCGAAGACCTAATGATGAGCATCCAGGCCACCGACTACGGCAACATCTTTGCGAATGATCGCCACTTCAGTGTGGATCTGATTGAGAAGCGGCTGGGGGAGAAGCTTCTCCACGAGTTCAACTACATCCGGGCCCACTCCACGGAGCCATTGAGCTCGTTCCTCGAGTACATCCGCTATCCGTACATGATTGACAACGTTTCCCTGCTGATTTCGGGCCTGAATAACAACAGGCCCATGAAAAGGCTGCTCGAGATGTGCAATCCGCTGGGCTACTTCGATCAACTGGCGGCCATTGAGGTGGCCGTCAGCTCTGTGGAGCTCTTCAATGCCGTGCTCATCGACACGCCACTGGCCAAGTTCATTCCGCCCGAGTTCCACGAGGATACCTTTAGCGAAATAGACGTGGAGATTGTCCGGGGCCTGCTCTACCGCTCCTATCTGGAGAGCTACTACGCCTTCTGCCAGGGCCTGGGCGGGACCACGTCTGATGTGATGTGCAAGCTGCTGAGCTTCGAGGCGGATCGCCGGGTCATCACCATCACCGTGAACGCCCTGCCCACCAACCTGACACCCAACGATCGCCTGAAGATGTACCCCACCTGCGGCCAACTCCCCGATCTAGCCCTGCGAACCCTATCCGAGATCGTGGACTACGAACGGGTGCGCGATATGTGCAACTTTGTCGGCTATGGCGACATGTTCGAGAACATCGAGCGGGACACCGACGGGCTGATCGGGCTAGAGGATCGCTTCCTCATGCTTGAGGCCAAGAACAACGTTTACTCCTATCTGCAGCAATTCCACTACGGCGTCTTCTATTCCTACGTGAAGCTGAAGCAGCTGGAAGTACGGAACATCATCTGGATCTGTGAGTGCATCGCGCAGCGTCAGACGGATAAAGTGAATGCATACATTCCCATTCCTTTGGATTGACTCTTTCATCAATTGAATTGGGTTTCCATTAAGCTTTGCGTTTTGTGTTTGGTATCCTTTATAGTTAGTTAGTTGATAATTAAATAGAGTTAAAATTAGTAGACAAAGTCTCTAAACTCCTTCTATAGTGTTTGGAATTTTCCAGACTCCAAGCTTTTAAGGTCCTCTTAATGATCACAAATACGTACAGAGGCACATATATATTTTTTGTATTTTTTTTTGTATTTAATTTTAATGTTTTTTTTACATGATTTTTAAAAATTGTATTTTAAAAGCATTGCATTATGTCATATAAAGTACGATATATCATTACATTATACAATCGTTTGTATTTCCTTTGAATTGTAGTGTTTTGTTTTGTTTTGAGTGTTTAACCATAAGTTAAATTTATGTTTAAGCAATTTCATAATTCAATAGCATAGCAGTAATTGTTTCAGAGACCATGGCTATATATGCATCATATATATGTCTATATATATATATATATAGTAGTGTATATAAGTATTATTATGTGTATGTGTGTGTGTGTGTACTGAGTGCATCCATGAAGATACTCCTCAATAGTGCGACTAAAACTAAAAATCGTGAGGCATTACCCCACAAAACGGTTGGTAATGCCATATAAAAGGACAGATTGTATAATAAAATAAAGAAAATGATCTGCGCAGAGGGCGTGTGTGTGTGTGTGTGTGAGGCTGCAGCGTAAACATCAAGAGCAATTGCTTAAGGAAAGAATTTCTGTAGAGTCCACACTTCACTACTCGACACCTGGCACCAGGCACACTCTTCCCACAAATGTAATTCTTTGTGTGTGTGTGTGTGTGTGTGTGTGTGTATATATGTGTGACATCAACATTCGCCCAACAAACGAAACAAACAAATGATTATGCACGTAGGCATATGCATGTGAACCGAACACAAACAAACTCGAACAGAAATCAATCTGAAGAACGCAACAAACATTGAACGGGGATGAACGGGGCACAACCCCTCGTAAGAACAACAATTATGAGAACATTATGTTTAGACTATTGCATGATTGCAGATGTGTGTATTAGGATGGCATCTCTGTTTGTTCCAATGTCCAGAGTCCAGTGGATTTCAGCTCCTGCCTCCTACTGCCACATGCCAATGGTGTAGTTCCTGCTCAGGTGTCCCATGCGACGCTGACGTCCAACTGCAAAACACACCAATGATTGGATTAGTGGGGTATTCTATAGAGCTTGTCGACTGTTAGCAAAATAGTGGTTAATTCTATGCTTAGGAATAGAAGAATACTTGGCACAACACTGAGAACGACTGGCAAAGACTGGGAACATTGCAGAACACCCCAGTGCCAGTGGCTGTGTTGGCACAGATACATTTCTCGTTGTTGGCTTAACGCTAATCTACCAGAAGTCCATCCCCATTTTGTATCCCCGTAACTAAACCGTTTCAGCATAGGTGGTAGCTTATTGTGCTTAGATTTATCTTAGGGAACCGAATATGGGAAATATACAAATTGAATTGATTAAATAATGATTAATAACTACTTTTACTGGCAACTGTTAACAAATGAATCATCTGCCCTGAAGTATAATCATGTTCTGAAATAAACGCTGCACTTTCCGTAGCCACCACATCCTTTAACATTGAAATATGTACTCTTGGTATGAGGATGGAGCTCCCACTTATATTTAGCTTAGCTTACGAGTGTACGGATTAGATTCACTTAGTCACTTCTTATTGTCAAACCATTACATGGCACTTAGTGGATTATCTTAGTTCTTAGAAGGTAAGCTAACAAATCAAAAGATACTTTACGTACTGCAGAGATCACACATCATTCTTCGGTGTTAGTTCACAGCTGGTGGGCTGGTTGGTAGGTTGATTGGTTGGATCGGTTCGGTTCGGGTTCGGTTCGGGTTTTGGGTTGTTTTGGTGGGGACTATTAGATTGAACTTGGACTTGTGTGGCATTGTTCTCCTTGTTCTTGTAACTGGTGGTGTGTGCTCGTGGTTGTGTTGGTTGATGTTGTACATTTCCTTGGATTTGTTTGTTATTCAGATTATGTTGGTAGTCAGAAGTTGGACAAATAAAGACACACAACACACACATCGAGAGGGTTTTCTGCCTGATTGTTGTTGTACTTGGTTTCATGTGGCATCGTGTTGCGGTTGCTGGTTGCTTGTTGTGGTTGGTTGCTGCTCTTTGTGTTGTCTTTTTATTTACGCTGATTCAGGCGTTTCACGCGTACTGCAAACATGGAAAGAAAGAGGAGGTGCGTGTCGTGGTTGTGGTTGTGGTTGTGGTTTGGCGGATCACACAGGAAGAAAAGAAACAAATACAGATCGGCATTAGTCAAGTTGTTGCAACATAGAGTTAGATCTGAAGAGAGGGTTCAACAATGTTAGTTCAAATGTCATATAATTAATCAATCAAACAATCATCAAACATCGAATCAAAGGAGTGAGCGGGTACAACATTCAAGTTTCTGTTTTAGTTTAGCGTAGGAGTTCCTCGCGAGAAAGGAGGAGGCGATCGTATGCTTCTCCTTGGTTTTAGTCTGGGTTTTTGCTGCAAGCTTATAGTTTAGTCTGGGTTTTAATCGGGTTAGTAGTCGTATACTAGATTGGGAGCTGCTGCAACAACATCAAAGTACTTAAACAGAAGAAGGAGGGTACCAACTGTTTGTCGTAGGATACACAAATATGTTCTTCTCGATGAGGCTGCTGCCGTTGCTGCTGCTTCTGCTATTGTTAGTTGTTCTTATTGAATTATGAAATAGTGTCAAACGTTCTATTCTGGTCTCTACATTGAGTAAATTGGTTGTAACGGGTGGTTCGTCTCTTTGGTTCTGGTGATGGTGGGGGGATTCACTTAGATCATACATCGCAGTTTAATTCCTACACGAAGAGAACATCGTTAGAGAAGGCTGCACCGTGGATCGCAGTTGTCGGATGGCTGTGGTGGTTTGTGAATTGTGTTTAACATGCAGATATGCAAAGGGAAGTGAAGGGAATGGGTTATCATGCAGAAACAGCAGATAAATATAAAGCAGAATCATCGGAATCATGCAACATAAACGATAGGGTTGTGGCTGTTGGGTATGCTCGATGACTGTGATGCGTGGAAATAAGTAACAACGGAAGGAAAGGCTACAGCTTATACTATTCGTAAGGAAGGTGTTTCATTCTTTGGTTACTTTTATGATTTAGCAATTCTATGATTAGTAACAAATTTGGATAGATGCTTTGGCTGCTCTTTGCCTGGGCATATCCTTAAATTCGGGTTTAGTTTGCAGCAGTTTCTCAACGTTCTCCTGCGGATGTGCGAACATTCAGCAAAATGCACTTTCATGGAACTATTGCCAATAGATGGATCGGCAGAAAAAGCCATTCTGAGATGGGTATAGGATGCTGGTGGATTGCATTTTGGATTAGAGGAGCTGATCAAAGGCAGAGGCAGAGTAGAGTGCAATTCGTGTTCATAGATACCTGTGTTAAGCATTAGAGAAAATTATACACGTAACACGTACAAATGTGGATCGCCTAAACGATTTCTGATGCGCTTCGAAGAGGCCTCGACTCGACCTCAAACATATCTTCAAACAAACATCTACGCGATACAATATAGTATGTATTTTTATGTAGTACTCTCAATACGAGTATATATGTATATAATGATATTTCTCTTTCGTTTTCTTTGCTTTGCTTTGCTTTGCTTTGCTTTTGTTTTTGCTTAGTAAGAGTCTCTCTAGATAATATATATGTAGATATGGTTCGACTTTGGCTTTATCCTTTATCCTTTATCCTTTCTTTTATATTATTTTATACACGTTCTTTGTTTGTTATTTTTGGGGCTTCTTCATTTCCTTAATTTTCTTTCTTTCTTTATATTTAGATTACAAAACGCTTTAAAAATGGTTTAGGTTTAGTTTTAGTTTGATTTCTTTGCTTGTTTTTGGATGCTGATCTCCTATTGAATTCTTGTCGATTTTCTATGCAGATTATTGAAAAATCTGAACTGCAGTCGCAACTCAAGATCTTTTCTTACTGTAAACAGAAAAAGAGAGAGAGAAACAGAGCGGGAGAGAGAGAGAGGGAGAAACAAATGAACAAATAAGGCTTAAACAGGACACAAAATATGGCTTGAACGGATTGATAGACATAGAGAGAGAGAGAGAGAGAGAGAGCGAGCGAGAGAATAACGAGGAGTGAGTGCTGACTGTCTGGGATACTAATTTCTGTAATCTTTGGATTGAAGTTGGGACTGGGGGGATACACAAAAAAAAAGATACAAGATACACAGATACAAAACAGATATTGCTGTGCTGTGCTGTGCTTTGGTGTGGTGTGTGCTTGCATGGGTGTGACTGAGTGGCTGAGGCAGTGACCGCTGCGATGAGTGGGGCGGCTGGCGGTGTTAGTGGCACGAATCGTATGATCGAATGGATTGTGGATGGATTATATACACAGGACTATCGCTATCGATCGCTATGGTTGAAGCGAAGGCTGACAACGAAGATATCAAGGCAGGAATATCAGGAATCGATCGTAGTATTGTGTGGTATATACATATTCTTGGTCTGCAAGTATCGGATCGTCTCCAGAGTGTGTGTTCTTGTTCAGGGGGGTGGGGGATAGAGTGTTTCTGTCAGGCGGCGGCAACATCAATATCAACGACAACAACATCAAGGGTTAACCAATGAGGCGAGACACACAAAGGGATTGGATTGGATCGAATGACTGTGTCTGTACATATTGTATGTGGATATTCGTGTTGTTTCTGTGGCTTCTCTCCGAACATTCTGTGGTCTGTGTGCGGTGCTGCTGCTGCTTCTCACTCACGTGTGCGCTTGATAGACGCCCTCGTCGTCGTAGTTGGGCGTGACGGACCGACTGCCGGGCACCACCATGTTGTCCGGGTCGAACTCCGGATCGAAGGCATCGCCGCCGCCGCCACGGATGACCATGTTGTCGGGATCGACCTCCACATCGTAGTCCGGCGGCGGCTGCGGCGATGGCGACGGCGACGGCGTAGGTGTGGCCGAGTTCGGATAGTGGATCTCGCGCTCGATCTCCATG